AGGGTTATTAATCAATGTCATAAAACAATATGTGTACTACTGTTTCATGAGAAACTATTTGTTCTGTAAGCCTTCACCTGAAGTACAATTAAAAAAAAAAAAAGGGGGAATTTGCAGAACAGTATTTCAAATCATCACAGAATCCAGACTTTCTTGAGCCATGGAGACTGGAAGAACCCCTGAAACTACTGCCCTGAGATAACCTTTAAACCTTAAACCAAAAATACCCACTGAAGCCTTCTTAAAACCAAACAATTATTTAGTTTAACTAGTAAAAAAACTGTCTACCTTGAGCATTATGCTCTTTTAAGAACTATCTGTATGGAATCAAATTGACAACAGTAACTCAAAAGATTGGATAAGAACCTTAGAGGGAAGTGAATTTATGATAATGAGGGAGAAACAACCCAGAAAAGGAGGGTAAGAATGGTTGCACAACTCACAGAATGTAATCAATGTCACTGAATTGGACATATAGAAACTGTTGAATTGGTATATGTTTTGCTGTGTATAGTCCCAACAACAACAAAATAAATAAAATTAAAAAAAAAAAAAAATGAACAAGAGATCTGGAAGGTTTCCCTAGGTGAGAGAGACAGACTAGTAAATCATTCCCGGAAAACTTACTATGTGCCTGCTGTCGAGTCAATTTTGACTCATAGTGACCCTACAGGAGAGAGCAGACCTGCCCCATAGTTTCCAAAGAGCAGCCGGTGGATTCAAACTGCTGACCTTTTGCTTAGCAGCTGAGCTCTTAACCACTGTGCCACCAGGGCTCCTACTATGTGCCAGGTAGTTTAAAAACAATTCCTCTAATCCTTGCAATAACCCTGAAGGAAGGTATTACTTTATTCTCTTTTCACAGATAGAAAGTGTGCTTTGGAGAAAATAGTTACATGACTTATGCCAGGGCACCAAGTGAGAGAATGGTGGAGCCAGGATTCACATCAGTCATCTGACTCTAAGCCTGGGCTTTCTCCATCCCACTGTGCTGTCCCCTAAGCAAACTCCACAGTGGATATGCCTGTAACCTGCGGGCAGCAAACCCGAGATGAACACCACGTACTTCGTTCTGCCAGGAGTGGCCCTAAACTTGTGCAGCTTAGACAAATAACATAGGCTGTAAAACCTGAAAGTTTGTCCTCATCGTCCCACAAACACATTCACAGAATAAAGCCTGAATAACTTTTCACCTGCCCAGAAAGCTTCCTCACTTCCTCTAGGATTGAGGCAACAGGCCGACTCCTCTCCCGGCCACGTGTGAAAGGAACGATGCAGTAGCTACACATGTTGTCACAGCCTCGCATTATTGACCTGGGGAAGAAAGCACCAGAAATGAGTAACAGGAGCAGGGTGTCTTGCTCCAACCTGAGGAGCAGGTCACAGCTCCCTGGGCATTATCCTTTGGCAGAGTTGTCCTGGCGCCACACTCACCCTGGACCAAACTGAGCTCTCAGAGGCAGGAAGGCGGAAGTTTTCTGGGTTTTTTGTTTGTTGTTTATTGTTGCAGTTTAAATGAAGTTTACATTTCAAGTTAGTCTCCCATATAAAAATTTATACATACATTGTTATGTGACTCTAATTGCTCTCCCCATATGGTGACAACACACTCCTCCTTTCCACCCGATTCCCCATGTCCATTCAACCAGCTCCTAACCCTCTCTGCCTTCCCATCTCACCTCTGGACAGAAGCTGCCCATTTAGTCTCTTTTATCTACTTGAGCTAAGAGGCGCACTCCTCACGAGTATCACTTTGTGGGCCACAGTCCAGTCCAATCCCTGTCTGAAGAGGTGGCCTCGGAAACTGTTTTAGCTCTGGGCTGATAGAGAATCCGGGGGCCATGCTTTCCAGGGTTCCTCCAGAGGTAGACGTTTTTTATCTTTAACACTGGTACCTAATCACAGGATATAAACCAAACTGCCACTGGTGGATAGTGGTTACCCTGAGGGAGCACAGCGGTGTGGGGATGGGGTGCAGACTTATCACACACTTGCTTTCTACTGTTTATATGTACATATTGTGTGAACTTCTTTCCAGAGCCAGAAAGAAGTAAATATTATAAAGAGTGGGGGGGGGGAGACCTTGGATTTAAAACACAGGATTCTGCCTTTCTCACTTGTTCATGACCCAATTCCCAGGTATCTAAGTCAAATCACTCTCTTTTATTTGCATTCTGAATATAAAAGCCTCAATTTACCTTAAGAAAATACCTCTGGACATGTACCAAGGATGTTCACTGCAGAATTATTTAATAAATAATAACTATCGTTTTTATTAAGTATCTCAACAAGAGCGTATCGGACAGTCATTAAAATGAATGGAAGTTGACAAATATTTTCTGTAAAGAACCAACCAGTTGCCAACAAGTTGATCCTGACTCATGGCAAACCCATGTGTGCCAGAGTAGAATGGTGCTCCATCAAGTTTTTAAATGCTTGCTTTTTTGGAAGTAGATCACCAAGCCTTCTTCCATGGCACCTCTGGGTGGACTCAAACCTCCAACCTTTCAGTCAGAAGCCAAGCACATTAACCATTTGCACCGCTCCATAAAGAACCAAATAGTAAATAACGTCAGGTCATGCAGTCTCTGTTACAACTACTCAACTCTGCTATTATAATGGCAAAAGCAACCACAGACAATATATAAAGTAATGGGCACAGCTGTATTCTAATACAACTTTATTTACAAAAATGGACAATAAGCCATTTGCCGACCTCTGTCATAGAATATTTAATTTAGATGTAAGAATGTTCACCATATTAACCAAGAAAAGGTTACAAAACTAAGTACAGCAAGGATCAATTTTTATAAATAAACACACACACAGAATATACACATATAAGCACTAAGGAAAAGGACAAGAATGATATACACCAAAACAGTAACAGTGTTTATCATGAGAATTGTTTAATAAATGATAACTATTATTTTTATCACTAAGCAGTGGAAGTATAGCTAACTCTTACTTTCTTCTTTATGCTTTTCTATCTTTTCCATATATTCTTCAATAAATATGAACTATTTTATAATCTGATTTTTACTTTCTTAATTTAAAAGATCAGGGAAGATTTAACTAGTAAAAAAAGGTTTGCCTTGAGCATTATGGTCTTTTAAGAACTATCTATATGGCATCAAATTGACAACAGCAACTCAAAAGACTAAATAGGAACCTTAGGGGGCAGTGAGTTTTTGTTAATGAGGGAGGAACAACTCAGGAAATAAGGGTGAGAATGGCTGCGCAACTCAAAGAATGTAATCAATGGCACTAAACTGTACATACAGAAACTGCTCAAAAAAAAAAAAACAGAACAGAGAATGTTGACACTGTGATAAATTTAACTAATGTCACTGAACAATCTGCGTGGAAATTGTCAAATGGGAACCTAACTTGCTGTGTAAACATTCATCAAAAATTTAATAAAATATTATTTTAACAAAAAGTCAGGAAAGCCCAATATATTTTAAGTGAAAAAATAAAGGCATATAGAATAGTATACTATCATTGGTGTAAAAAGGGGGGGTTAGGGAAAGACCCATAGGGGTATATGAGTGTAAAGAATATTTCTGAAAAGATTATACAAGAAATAAGGCTGCCTCTGAGAGCTGGCCTAGGAAGCTGGGGATGAGGGATGTGAGGGAGTCTTACTATGTATCATTTTTTGTATTTTGTACCATGTGCATCGATTACTTTTTCTAGAAAAAGTAATAAAACTACATTTTAAAAGCAAGATAAAAAGTAAAGGAGAGGCTCACTCCCTTTCTCTTGGGCAGTAACTCACACGAAGGCAGAGGTGGCGCTGCGGCTTGTCTGGACCGGCATGACATCAGCATAGGTCTCATCCAGAGAGAGCAGCACGTTGGCAGCTTGCTGGCCTGACTCAGCAAGAGCCAGCAGCCGGGGAAGGTCCCGATAGGCATCGGGACCAGCCAAAAGATCCACCATTTTCTCCCTGTTGAGGATCTCCTCCTTCAGTCTCTCAGCCATGCAACCTGGGAGGGAGAATAAATAAGTATCTATATCCAAATGCATCTGGTCTCATGACTTCTTCTAAGTAACACATTATCTCCAGCTTGCATTAGAGACCTTGGCACAAGAAACTTCTCTAAGAGATCACCAGACTTAATCAACACTCAGAGCACTGGACACTGCATCTGGCTATACAAGAAAATTACAGGAAAAGGGTTCCAGAGCAATTTAATGCCTGGAAAAATCTAAACCACATCTAAAAACCTTTTTAGATATGAACCATCTCTTTTTTCAGTTGAAAGTTACTTGGTGCTACAAATAAAAACTATTTTATGTCAGAAACTTATTTATTAAAAAAAGAAAAAAAACCTTAGTTATATACAACTACATTTATGTCCTTTCTCCCTCTCTTCTTACCCATAATACTTGCTAAAACCTGTAGGAAATGAGTTAACCATCTATGCTGGGATCTCTCATATCCTAAAGTATGTTATTAGTTAAGACTACAAAATTTTAAAAATCCATTTTATCACAAACACTCTTTGAAAATGTCTGTTTAAAAATTATTCTTGGGATTTCTGAAATTGCTAATAGATATACCCAAGGGCTTCTATAATGAAGGAACTGAAATGGAACATTTCAGCTCTGTGATAAAAAAGAATGAAGTTCCAACACATGCTACCACATGGATGAACCCTGAAAACATTATGCTAAGTGAAACAGGCCAAACACAAAAGGACAAATATTATATGATCCCATGTATATGAAATATCTAGAATAGACAAATAACTAGACAGAAAGTAGACTAGTGATGACCATGAGCTTGGGGGAGGGGGAGTGGGGAGTTATTGCTTAATGGAGGTAGAGTTTGTTTGGGGTGTTGAAAAACTTTTGGAAACAAGTAGTAGTAATGGCTGAACAACACTTTGAGTGTGATTAATGCCACTGGATTACACACTTTAAAATGGTAAAATGGCAGATTTTATATTGCATGTATTTTACCACAATAAAAAATTTTTTTAAAAAACATTTCAGCTAACCCTTCTATAACCTGGCCCACAAACCTCCCAGTGTGCCTGTGGAGAGGAATCCCCCTCAAGTGCGCTTGTGCAGGCGCCATCTTGCTACCCAATCACATAAAAGCCTTGCTTCCCCACCATTCAGGCAGACGTTGTCTGTTTTCCACAGTCTGTTTATAACTATGAATTCTGGTACAAGGAGGGTAAAGAATATTTACTTATGAAATATGCTTCCCACACCCATTTATATCAGAGCTGCCAACAGAACTTCTATGATGATGGAAATGTTCTTTATCTGTGCTGTCCAAAATGGTAACCACTAACCACATGTGGCTATTGAGCACTGAAAAGGTGGCTGGTGCAACTAAGGAAGTGATTTTTTAAATTTAATTTTTAATTGATTTAAATTTTAGCCACATGTAGCTAGTGGCTACCATATTGGCCAATGTAGATCTGGACTGGGCATGCTTCAGGAGCCAAGGTGGAAGGTAACTACACTGTAAATTCATGCTGCTCCTTTGGACTCCAAATTCTCTCCCAAACCCTAACTCTGGCCACCATGAGCCACGTTAGACTATAAGGATATACTACTTTCTACTACCTATTATTCCAACGCATTATGGAAAGCCCTTTTGTAAGCTTTATCTCATCTAATCCTGCAGCCTGTGACATTAAGCACAAGACTTGTATGAAGCACTTAAGATTTCTTCACGCACTGGGAACTCAGCCTTTAAGGGAAACCAGCATATAAAGCCACATACAGCCCAAGCCTCAAAACCGACAGATCTGCAAATTACCGGATACCTAGAATCCCAATCCTCAGAGGCACTCGAGAGCGGGACCGTTTTGTCTTCAGGGCTTTAAGTTGATGTAAACGATTCCAGATGGTCTGTTCAGCCTTCTCCCTACAAAGATCAAAGGATCAAGGTAGAAATGAACAGGAGAATAAACCTCAGAGCAATAAAAGGAGTGGAACAATGGGAAGAAATAAAAACAAACCTTCAACCCTTTAAATGAATGTCCACCTTATAGGCTTAGGGAAGGTAGGTGGGGGGCCAGCTGAAGAAGCACCACTTGCTATAATTCACCATTCCTAGAATGGTGTCCTTCTTGTACATCTCCAAATCCTGACAAAGCTTTAAACCAAACTCAAAAGCAATCTATTTCACAAACTCTCCTTCCCCAACTGTCCTTTGTTGAGAGTACTTTTTTCTTCCCTTCAACTGTCCCTCCACTTTACATACTTTTCCCTGTACTTTGCAATTTCTTCTTTTCATTGTTTGATTTTTTTTTCCACCTGGGGCTTTCTGCCATGTGGTAGAGCTATTTGCCTACCTGTCTTAGTTCCTGTACCAGACTAGGCTCCTTAAAGCCAGGCTCAATGGAGGTCTCATTAGTGAATCTCCCAAAGCACCTAGTTCAATGTCTTGCAGCAAACACCCTCAGAACAAAAATGCTATATTAATGAATTAATTAACTGATGATACAGTCAGCTGTGGAAACATTAACACTAACATGTCTTGTACATAGAAACCAAGTAAGAAACCAGGTATGTTCACCTCTGATGGATGACACCCAGCTCTGTTCAAAGGAATTCTGTCCCCTGGTAACTTACCACACCCTAGTCTTGCCAACTACATCACAAATATGTGCCATTAGTTACAAAAACCCAGGAAAAGTTGGGTGACTCAGTAGTCTTGGTTTCTTCATCTATGAAATGGGTTTGACAACACAACCTACCTCCTAGGGTTGTTGCGAGAATAGTTAATGCATCTAGAGCGCTCAGCACAGGACCTACCACACATCTTCTCAGCAGATGTCAGCCAGCTGTATCATTACTATCTCCACTGCTATAAAACTGCAAGTCGTACTGACATGGGTCTGTCAGTTCAACTACATAGGTAGCCAGCCTAGTACTGTTAGCTAAGCACAATTATACAAGATACATTTACTCCTTAGTTAAAGAACAAATTCTCACCTGATAGAACATGTGACAAGAAGGATGACATCAGCCTGGGTAGAGAGCAAGAAAGAAAACAAAAATTATGATCTTTGAAATTAGCCTTGAAGAATCCCTGCCTCGCAGTCTATTTTTAACTTAGCACCCTGCCTGAAGGTGAGTGCCACCCAAAAAGTTTCAAAACAATGGAACATGTCAGGATAAACCTCAAAAACATTATGCTAAATGAAAGAAGCCATACACAAAAGGTCACATATTATCTGATTCCCTTTATATGTGATATCCTGTATAGATAAATCCACAGACAGAATATAGATTGGTGGTTGCCGGAGGCTGGGGAGAAGGAAGAGTGGAGTGGCTGCTTAATGAATACAGGGTTTCCTTTTGGGGTGACGGAAGTGTTTTAGAACTAGACAGAGGTGGTGGTTACACAACACTGTGAATGTATTAAATGCCACTGAATTATTATAAATTACATAAACAATTCATTTTATGTTATGTGAATTTAACATAACAATCTTTTAATTTAAAAAAAGTACACTTTAGCTTCATGGTACACACTTCACTCAAGGGAACTCACTATTGCCAGGCTGCCCCCTTTCCTGAAACTGCATCTAAGAACTGGCATAAATGCAGAGTCTCCCCCAGGCCCAGAAAACAAGGGAAAGGAGGAAATGCGTGTACCTCTTGGAGGTTACTGGTCCGCAGGTAGCCACTCTTCTGTAGGATGGACCAGGCTATCTCTGTGTCGTTCACATTCATCTGGCAGCCATAGGTCTCAAGGTACACTACAATGAAGGAGATTCCACGGATAGGAAGGTGACAAGGAAACATGTCTCAAAAGGTCTCCTTCTCAATTGCCCCAGAAACACCTGAGGCTACTAGTTATTCACTGTAGTTAACCCACTAGTAAGTCCCCTGTGCCTCAATTCCTAGATACCATTAATTGCCAGATAGACACCCACATAAATGACAGCCTTTCAGAACAATAGAAATACTGCATTAAATGTACACACCAACTACAGCCATGGCATTTAAAATACGAAGAAAATGTGTACCTAACGAAATATAGTTATAAAAACAATTAGAACTTAATCAATGTCATTGAATTATGCATGTAGAAACTGTAATAAAGACCAAGCAAAGCATTGTTTAAAAAAAAATTAGACAAGAGAAGACTAGTTGATAAATAATACTGGATTATCAACCCAGGCAGAAAATAAATTTAAACCCACAGGCTATACTCCTATTTCTCAAAATGAGGTTCTCCAGCCTCTGAAGGTAGCAGCAGTGGTCAGAGGGTACATATAGCCACAAAAGAAACATGATCCTAGTGTAACTTCAAACATCTTAAATAAGCATGGCTATACTGTGAAGAAAAAACGGAAATTTTTAAATAATACTTTATTGTTTTTTCATGGACAGTTTATACCACAAATTAGGTTCTCGTTTGACAATTTCTACACAAATTGTTCAGTGACACTAGTTACATTTTTTGCAGTGTGTCAACATTCTCTTTAATTGCGTTCTGGTTGTTCCATTGTAAAATGCAAATTTTGCACAAAGTTTTAAGAACACAAATTTAACAGTGGCAGCCCCTTCAGACTGGTTTCCCAAATAAACCTCTGCCCCCACCAGCACACTTTAATCCACAGACAAGAATAAAATCCGAAAGGATTTAAAAGTTGAATGACAAAGAATCATATGAAAACCAATAGAAAATAGCAGTTACTTTAAAGAAGAAAGAAGACAAAACAAACATCATGGTTTTTTGTTTTTTTAAACCTTCTTTGGCTCACTTTCCTTGTTTAAAAAATGAAAACACCAGTATTTATGTCAGAGAGGTACTGAGGGGAACAATGAATTATAAAGGATTGCAAAATACCTAGCAGGAATCACAGATACACATACTCCTTGATTTACAAATTCAACTCCTAGAGATTTATTCTGGAAAAAAAAATTTTTTTTAAATAGAATATATATATATGAAAACACATAATACAGTATTATTTATAACATAAAAATTTTTTATACAACCTAATGTCCAACCATAGAGGAATAGCTGAAAGACATCATGACACAACCAAGATATTTTGTACCAATTAAAAATAAATTTAAATACAAAGATTGTACTGTTTGGGAAAACATTAAATGAAAATAGTGAAATATAAATAATTTGCATCATGTGATTACAACCATATCTTTAAGAATTATGAAGGGAATTATTTTTTTAAAACAGGGTAAAGGGAAGGGGTTCTGGTTGTCCTTTAATGTCTCTTCAAACATTTTTTAAAAAGGTGTTTTAATTAATTGTATAGTGTTACTAAGAAAATCCCTGTTCAAGTATAAAGAGTGAATTTCTATAGCACCAACTATGAAGGCTGCTTTGTGACTTAAGACAATCCAAAAATTAGAAGAGATGATAAGTTTTCCAAAGGTAACCCAAAAATCAAAGAGAAGCCTCCCAGAATTTCTACCTCCCAGTCATGTGTGCCAACACTGTAAGTTTCTTTATATCAACGTTACTTGGTAGAATTTGACATTTCCATAACTTAGCAGCCTTCTCACACTGCTAACCCTCCAAATTCAGATCTGTAATAAAAAAATAGTTAAAGAATCAGGCCCTAAGATACAACTATCAGTCTCTACCTGTCAGAAGCGAAAGAGTAAGAAGGTAACCAAAGTCACAGAGAAGAAACTAGTTTACAAGGCTGGCAGCCTACATGAGCCATGACCTCAACTACCCTGAGACCAGAAGAACTAGATGGAGCCCCGCTACCACTTACCAATCTGACCGGGGGCACAACAGATGATCCTGGTTAGAATGGGAAAAAAATACACAATAAATCTAAAATTCTTAAAAAAGGCCAAACTAACTGGACCACCTGAGACCAGAGGAATCCCTGAGACTATCGCCCTGAGATGCTCTTTAAACCCTGAACCAAAACTATCCCGAGAGATCACCTTTTAGCAGAAAAGCAGAGTGACACACAAAATAGAGGATATTACCCATTAGATTAGTGCTCCACTAAAAAAAATCTGTATAAATCCAAAAGGTCAACATTTAATCCAGAGCAAAAATGAGAAGATAAAGGGACAGGGAAACTAGATTACTGAAAATGGAACAACCAGAACACAATTAAAGAGAATGTTGACACAATATGAAAAATGTAATGATGTCATTAATCAATTTGTGTGGAAACTGTCAACTGGGAACCTAACGTGCTGTGTAAACTTTCATCAAAAACACAGTATTATTTAAAAAAAAAAAAAAAAAAAAAGAATCAGTCCCTGAATGCTGGGAAGTAACAAGGCAGGAAGCCCAAAGGCAGAAAAGAAACAAAACCAACCTTTTCTCTGCCTTCCCAGAAGTTCGTCCACCGTGAGATAAGGGGGTGGGTCCTCTACTTCTGGAGAAGATGGCTTCTCTTGAGGCGTTGAAGCACTTCTTAAAAAATGCTGAAAAGTTGGTCCAGTCGCCAGCCTGGAGCTGAAATCCTTTGGAACTCCATCCTCCTGCCTTTCTGGACTGGGACATGCAGTGCTGGGAAGACCACTGTGCGCCCTGCAGTTCCTGAGCAACAGCCAGGACACAGAGGCCAACGTCCCCTGCCTCAGAGAACCCTGCGCTCTCAGGACATGCTGTAAAGGCTGCATGGCACTAAACAGCCCAAAGTCTGCAAGAATGATAGACATCACCAACATTTATTGAACGCTATGTACAGGGCACTGCTCTAAGCACTGCACATGTATTACTTCACTGAATCTCCACAAAAACCCATTAAGAAGGTACTCTTAATAATATCATCCCTATTTTACAGGTAAGCAAACTGAGGCAACTTGCTTCACAAAGAAGCAGCAAGAGATGAGATGCAAATCCAGGTAGTCTATTTTCAAAACAAAGGAAGGAGAGATGAGATGCAAAGCTGTGAGAGAATAACAAAGTAGCCCTGTGAGCTAGAAACAGCTCTAAGGGCTTTAAGTATCTTAATTCATCAAATCTTCACAGCAATCCTCAGAAACCTAGGTAAGAGATACTACTATTACCCCACTCAGCGATGAGGAAACAGACAGAGGCTAAGGAACTTACCTTAGGTCCCACAGCCAGTGAGTAGCATAGCCAGAATTCAAACCAAGGCCTGCAGGACTGCAAAACCAGAGCCCCTAGCCACTTGGATACAATGCTTCCTAAGAGAGGTAGTCACTGACTTAGGAGGTATTCTAGCTACATCAAACCCCACTTACTAAACTGTCCTTTTTTTTGTATATCTTATCCTTAGTAATCTGCACTACATACAATGTTGCAGCAGGTAATTTGCTGATGTTATCATACTCATGCCAACCCCTGAAGACAAATGTAGAGTGGATATATAAAGCTATTGATAATAAAAGGCAATAAAAGTGAAAACTAAAAAAAAAAGGTATTCGACTTACCTCAGAACCAATTTACGAAGCAGTCGTTGGAACGTAACCCCATTGTAAGTCGGGGGCTACCTGTACTGTGAAAACCACTTATTGGCTGAGAGCATCTTCCTTTGGGCTCCTTCAAAAGGAAAGTATCTAATGTGATGCCTGATCAGTAATTCCTTCCACCTTCCAAGAATCTCAAACCTCTCCAAGCCCCTTCCCACCCAGGCCCTTCTCACACATGGCTGGAGGGAGTAGAAAAAGACACAACCTTTACAGAGGGCAATTTGCCACTTTCCATCAAAATTACAAATGCACAAACCCTCTGACCCAAAAAGTTCCATTCCCAGGTATTTATCCTACAGATATGTATGTGCAAAAGGGCCTATGTATAAAGATCTATGTGTAAAGATATTCAATGCAGCAGTGTTTCTAATAGCAAAGAAACTGAAGGAAAAGATCTGAATGCCATCAACAGGGGACTAGTAATAAAACTGTAATAAGATGCAACTGTTAGAAAGTGAGGCTGATTTCTAAAATTTATACATGACAAAAGCAAGGAGACAAAGTACTCAACACTACATACAGTATGCTGCACTAGGATCTGTGGGGAAAGTGGGCAGGAATATTGAGGTACACATTTGTAAATGCTCAGAATATCTCTAGAATGCATAAGAAACAGTGGTTGCCTCCCAGTAAGGAACCTAGCTAGGTAAGTCAGGCACACGAGATGGGGACATACTTTTTCATCACATATTTTTATGGACCCCACATGCAGGGCCTAATTGCCTCTCTCCAGCCATACCAGGTATCTCTGTACTAATTTTCACTAGCTTCCAAGCTGGAATATCCTCCCTTTACTGACCTGACCTACTCCTATGCCACCTGCAGATCTCTGCTTCCTCCTGGAATCTTGCCCTAACCACTCCCCCCAGACCCCAAATCTAGGTTGGGATCCTCCTCTGGGTTCTCAAAGCCCCCTTGTGACCATCACAGGACTCAGCACATTTTGCTGTTAATTACTACTTACACTTCTGCCGCCCCTTAAAACTGGGAGCTCCCTGAAAGCAGGGAACAAACCTCACTTTTACATCTCCAGCATCTCCCATTCCAGTTAACTAGATCAAGGCAGGTGCTGTACATGTGTAATGAGCTCAGGTGCCTGTTACCTCTGTCTGATCACCTGCAGTATCTGCTACCAGCACCTGAGGCAGTGTCAGGGCACAGCAGACTTTTAGTGTGAGCTGTAAAGTCACCAATTTCTGCCCCTTACTTGCTGTGTGACCTTGGGCAAATCAAATTTCTGTATCTGAGCTGCCAATTCCACATCTGCAAAATAAGAATAAAGGAGTAACTACCTCCCAACAGATGTTGTGAGAATTAAAGAAGATATTAAAAACCCAACTCGGCATACAGTAAACCTTCAGTACTGCACATTCCCAGTTCACACTTCCGTTCACTGGGAAAGAGAGAGATTAGAGATGATGGTTAAGAGCACGGACCCCAGAGTCGGAGTCTGACGCTATAGCTGCCTGCCAGGTAACCCTGGGCACATGACTCAAAGCTCTCCAAGCCTCCATTTTTTTCATAGGTAAAATGAGGATAGTGTACTTATCTCCATATATCATTTGTGAGGCTCAAATGAGATAGTACAAGTAAAATACTTCATAGTACAGTGCAGAGGGCTTTGTGGAAGGCGCAGAGATTAACTGGTAGTCGGCAATGAATACAACATCCCAAACCTTCTATTAGGTAGATACTCTACGCCAAGCCTGCTGCTAAAACATTTACATGGATTACTGTCATTTAATTCCTACAGCAACCCTGTGAGGCAGACTCTACTACCATCCCCACTTCATAGGTGACGAAGGCAGGGCTGGCGGGGGAGTGGGGTCTGACTTGCCCAAGGTCACATGAGGGGAGGCAGCGGGGCTGGGGTACGAACCCCGACAGTCCGACTCCAGGGCCCGCGTCGTAACCACACCGCATCCTCCCCCTTGAACACCGCGGCTCCACGGCCCCTGCCGCCCCAGACACCTGTGGTGAACTTGTGCGCAGACTACCCGCCACAGGCGCGTCGCTCACCTCCCGCTGCTTCAGGACTCAAAATATCGCAGCGGAAGCTCCCTCCAGCCGCCGGTCCCCTCTCTGCCTTCCGCCGCTGCGCACGCAAACGCACAACTTCCGTTCCGCCGCGACTTCTGCCCGAGTCCTCTCATCGGAAGGGCATGCTCTACACTGTCTGGGTAGACCCAGGATCCTGGCTTGGAAAAGCGCTACAAGCTGCGCTGGACAGTTATGGTAGCCGCAAGCCGCCTGTGGCTCATGAGCGCTTGATATGTGGTGAATGCGAATTAAATGTGCTGTAAATCCCCCTTGTGTTTCAGAGCAGAACTGCCCTCCATAGGGTTTTCATGGATGTGACCTTTCAGAAGCAGATCGCCAGGCCTTTCTTCCGAGGTGCCTCTGGGTGGATTCCAATCGCCAACCTTTCAGTTAGTAGTGAGCACTTAATCATTTGCACCACCCAGGGACTTCTTAAATGTAAAATACACACCGGATTTCAAAGAAAGAATGTAAAATGACAAATAATTTTTATATTGATTACATGTTGAAATAATAATACATGGAATATATTGGGTTGAATAAACAAATTATTTAAATTAATTTCACCTGTTTCTTTTTCCTTTTTAATGTGGCTACTAGGAAATGTTAAATTACATATGTGGCTCGCATTATATTTCTATTGAACAGCACTGTCTTATAGGTTAATGATCCCTAGAGTCACTTCTGCAGCCTGGACCCTCCCGGAAGTTGCAGATCCACAATTCGGCTGTCTACATGGCTCCTCCCCTTGGATATCTAACGACCATCTCTAACTTAATACAGGACTGTTAATTTACACACACACACACATCCTTACCCAAAACCTGTTCCTGCCCATTCTGGTCCATTTCAGTAAATGGCACAACCATCCTCCCAATTACATTAGGAAAAACTGGGGAATCATTTTTGTTTCCTCTCCCTCAGTTTCCACACTCAATCCCTCAGCAAGTCCTGTCAGCTCTAACTCCAAAACGTCTCAAATCTGTTCTCTTTCCTGTCTCTGCTGCTACAGTTCTAGCCCAAACCACCATTATCTCATCAGAAACTATCACAAACTATTGCCCTGTCTCCTGCAGACTATTTCCCACACAGAGCCTAGGGGAGGTTGTCTGTTTGTTTTGCTAAATTAGATCGTATCACTCCTCTACTGAAAACTCCCAATGGCTTTCCATTGCCCTTACAATAAAATCAGATTTCCTACTGTGTCCTAGGGTCTACAGATCTGACCCCCGCTTATTTCTCCAACCTACACTAAAGGGAGAGGGGGAGAAGGCAATTCAAGAGAACAATTAGGAGACTTTAGCTTTTATGTAGGATGAGACTGTGGAGTCTTCAACCAGTGTGGTGCCTTGGGGCAGTGAAGGTGATTAAAAACAAATCCCCAGATTCCAGGAGTTTGAGACATACTGCAAAAAAGTTCACAATATCTCCTTAGCTGACTGGTGCCAATCAGTCAAAAACACAAGGGCAAACACAGGCCAAGAATAGTAAAAACCGTGGTTCCTGGTTTTACTGTGGTTCTCCAGATAACCTAGAATGTGATCTGATCTTTTGGGGGCATTATCAGCACCACAGAAGTCCAAAATATCAGAATCCCTGGAAAACGCTTGAACCATAGAGGCAAGTTCTTGGACACTTTGGAATCTAAGGACTTCAGTTGGAGAATTCTTCAGGTTTATTGTAAAGTTTTTTGAGTGCAAGGGGAAGTAGGTATCCTAATTTGGCCATGGGGGAGGAAATCACCATGCTATGAAGAGCTCCAACATGGTGGCAGCCCTTACAACCCAATATGAGTTTGGAGATTAAAGGGGGAAGCCCCCACCCACCCCACTGAGAACAGACAAGGCCCCTCTTCCTTCTGGATGACCCCTAAGCTGGACCCCGTCCTTCTGGCCACACCAATTTCCTGTTTCAGGCCCTAATCTTTGTGTCACCATGTTCCTTCTCTTATTACTGTCAGTAATCACAGGACGGAGGAATTCTAGAGCTGGAAGGAAGCCATTTCAGGGCTTCCAGTGTGGGAATCAGGGAGGAGCCAGGATCTGAATCCACGTCTCTTGGCCTCTTTGAGATGTGCTCTTTCAAATCTGGACCTTACCCCAGAAGCCCAAGGGAGGCCTCATCTTCCCCCTTGGTGGCTGGGGCAGGAGGCAGCAGGTCAGAGCATGTCAGAGCTACTCCGTGCCAGTTCTGATTGCCTATGGGGTCAAGCTGGCAGCATGACGGGTGTTCTCTGGTGCCTTTTCTGATGCCCCATGTACCTGTACACTCAACAGTCATTCCCAACATCCCCTACTACTGCCACACACCCACACCAACCTACATGAGGTCCAGGGACTATCTCCCACCACCCTCTCCATCACCCACAACACTCCAACCACAAGGGTCCTCTTTCAGAGCCCATGTTTCCAAAAGCCCCTTGTTGCATCCACCTCAGGGCATTTCCCCCGGGATGCTCTGCCTGGGATGCTAGTCCCCCTTCCACCTGATTAACTCCTACTAGTTTGTGACAGTTCTAATTACACTGAGCAATTATTCGGTCCCCTCTTCCTCCCATTGTGGGCCAACTATATTTTCCTTCCCCAGTGATGTCAGGCTCAGCTACATGACTTGTTTAGGGCAATGGAAAAAGAATGGACATGATGCAAGCCTAGGACGTAAATGTGCTTGTGCGATTTGCCTTTCTTTGCACTCCAGTGATCTGCCATGAGAAAAGCATGGCCTGGGAGCTGCTGCCTCTTCACCCTGGGCTCCAGAAGGAGCAAACATAGAGCAGATCGGAGCCCAACCCACAGCCTGAAGCAAAGCCACCTAGGCGAGCCAAGCTTATAATAATCAAACTGCAGTCAACCTGCAGCCCCAGGAGCATGCAAATAAATACTTTTTGCTGTAACCACTGAGATTAGGGTTGGTTTATTACATAGCATTATTAGAAATCCTGGGTGGCGCAAATGGTTAAGTGCTCAACTACTAGCCAAAAGGTTGGCAGTTTGAACCTACCCAGAGATGCCTTAAAAGAAAGACCTGGTGATCTGCTACTGAAAACTCACAGCCTTGAAAACCCTATAGAACAGTTCTACTTTGCACACATGAGGTCACCATGAGTCAGAATCAACCTCACGGCAACCAACAACAACTGATTAAAGCATGCTCCTTCAGATGGATGTCAGCTTCAGTGTCCCCTTCTGAGAGAAAGCTCTCCTAGCCCCCCAGATCAGGTCGGGTCCTCGTTGACCTCTCTGCTATTTCCATGTGTCTGCCCAATCTGAAATCACACATTTGATCATGGAAACTTCTATTGAATTTCTTTCCCCCGACCTTTTGGCTTCCTGACAACAGGGACCCATCAGTCTTGCTCTAAGTTACATCAGCTCCTGGCCCCAAGGTCTAGCACACAGCAGGTGTGCACTAGATAGTTCTGAGATGAACAGTGGATGGATGGATGGATGGATGGATGGATGGATGGGTGGATGGGTGGGTGGGTGGGTGGATGGATGGATGCGCGGGTGGATGCACGGATGGATGCACAGATGGATGCACGGATGGATGGATGCATGGATAGATGCATGGATGCATGGATGCACGAGCAAGGCCTGGAATAGCTATTTATCTCCATTCCTCCAGGTTTCTAGTGCCTAGAACCAGTGTCTAGATTCTAGAATCAGCTCTGGCTTGTTATGGGATTTCAAGTCCCTTTTCATCGAGGCCTCGGTTTCCTTATGAGGAGGCTCAGTCTGAACTGCTTGGTCCAATACAACAGCTACTAGCCACGTTTGGCTACTGACAATTTGATATGCAGCTAGTGAATGAGGAACTGAATTTTTCAAATTTAATTTTAAATTTGAAAACTGATACTCAATGCAATTATTGGAAAACTTTATTAGGTTTGGAACAACTTGGGAATGTGAAGCTACTTTTTTCAGCTGTAAATTCTATGCAGTCTAAATACAGATCTAGTATCTCCAATTAAAATTGGGCATCTGAATAGAGATGTGCTGAAAGTATAAAATATACTCCGGATTTTGAAGACTTAAACCCCAAAAAAAAACCCATTGCCGTCAAGTCGATTCCAACTCACAGTGACCCTGTAGGAGAGAGCAGAACTGCCCCCTAGGGTTTCCAAGGAGCAGCTAGTGAATTCCAACTGCCAACCTTTTGGTTAGTAGCTGAGCTCTTAACCACTGCGCCACCAGGCTCTGAAGACTTACCACAAAAAAAGAATGTAAAGTATCTCATTAATAAATTTTTATATTGATTATATGTTGAAATAATAATATTTTTATATATTGGGTTAAATAAAACATATTATTAAAGTAAGCAAATGTAGAGACATGTTAACAGGGGTGGAAGGGAAGGAGGAAGGGAAAGTAATTGCTTAGGGGGCACTGAGTTTCTGTTAATGGTGGTGGAATAATTTAGAAAAGGACAAAGGTAAAGATCGTACAACATGATGAACATAATCAATGTCACTGAATTATACATGTAAAAATTGTTGAATTGGAAAATGTTTTGTTAGATATATTTTTACCACAATGAAAACATTTTTTTAGTTATTTTCACTTGTTACTTTTTTTAACGTGGTTGCTATAAAATTTAATACTACAAGTGTGGCTCACAGGAGTGCCTGGACAACACAAAGGTTAAGCACGTGACTACTCACCAAAAGGATGGCAGTTCAAATCCACCCAGAGGCACCTCAGAAGAAAGGCTTGGTGATCTGCTTCCAAAAGATCACAGCTTTCGCTGAATTGTACATGTAGAAACAACAGTTGAATTGGTGTATGTTTTGCTGTGTATATTCTCAACAACAAAATAAAACTGGAAGGAAAAAAAAGCTCACAGCCTTGAAAACCCTATGGAGCCCAGCTCTACTCTGCAACACATGGGGTCACCGGAAGTTAGCCGATTCCATGGCAACCGGTTTTATGTGGCTCACGTTGTATTTCTATTGAATAGTGAAGGGCCAGAAAGTTTCTAAGATGAACAAGGGCTTTGGAGTCAGACAGATCTTGTTTGAATCCCAACCCAGACACTTCATAGCTGTGACTTTGGGCAAGTCACTTTCCCCTTTGAGTCTCAGCTTCCTTATCTGTGAAATGGAGATAACTGTGCCACTGTATAGGTATATGGTGAGAATCCAATGAGATAAATATAATCTACGGTGTTTTCCACAGTGCCTGGCAGAGAGTAACTACTCTTTAAATGTTAGCTATCATTACTATTGTCATCGTGACTTTCTGGGCAATGCAAGCAAGTAGGAAGTCATAACTGTGGCTCGATCACATCCAGCAGCACATTACAGCTTCCAAAGTACTTCCAGCCATCCTCCCTTCTCCAGGAATGAGGTCTATGGTGGTTTTAAAATATGTCCATTCTTTGACATGCCTCTCTATAAGAGGTGGAGCCTAATTCCACTCCTCTTAAGTGTGGGCTGGACTGAGTGACTTGCTTCTACCAAACATAGCAGATGACAGCATGTGACATCCAAGACTGGGTCAGAAGAGGCACTGTGGCTTCCTCCTTGCTCTCTCTCCTGGCTCACTCACTCTGAGGGAAGCTGCTATGTCATGAAGACACTTGGGCAGTTCTATGGTTAGGTCCACGTGGCGAGGAACTGAAGTCTCCTGCCAACAGCCATGTGAGTGAGGCTTCCTGGAAGTGGATCCTCCAACCCCAATCAAGCCTTCAGGTGACTGCAGCACCAGCTGACATATCTTGACTGCAACTTAATGAAAGACCCTGAGACAAGGATGCCCCAGCTTAGCCTTTCTAGAATTCTTGACCCACAGAAATTGGGAGATAATGTTTGTTGTCTTAAGCTGCTAAATTTGGTGGTAATATATCACATGATGGAGTTCCGGGGTGATGCAAATGGTTAACAAGCTTGGCTGCTAACTGAAAGGCTGGTGGTTCGAGTCCACCCAGAGGCACTTTGGAAAAAGGTCTGGCGATCTACTTCTGAAAAATCAGCTATTGAACATCCTATGGAATGCAGTTCTACTCTGGTACACATGGGGTCGCCATGAGTGGGAATCGACTTCGTGGCAACTGGTTGGTTGGTTATGTCACATGACAATAGATAATTAATATACTCTCTTTCTGGCCTTGTGGTTCAAGGTCTGTTTTTCTCCAAGGAAAGGGGCCCCAGTCCCAGGTCTGGTCTATCTTGACACCGTAGAGGCCATCGCAGGGCCCCAAGGCCATGGCACAAACCACAGACACTTGGCCCATCTGCCCATGTGCTCACAGGCTGTTTATTTATCCAAGAGTAAGGAGGAAAAAGAAAGGATAAAGAGAAATACACACCCCAAGGTGGTGGAGCTGAAGGAAAAAAATGAACAGAAAGGCTCCTCCTCTTTCTCTTGCCACTGACCCCAGGGGACCCCAGCTTCAGAGGGGCCCCTGGGGATGGCTTAGTGGCCTCTGGGAGGCCTGGCAGCTATTGGCTGGGGTCAGGATCCCCACGGGGCAGGTCCCAGACTCGGAATGGCTTCTGCATACAAAAATATCTCTCTGCAAAAGGCACTGTTGGGGAGGGGGCAGCAGGGAGGCTACCCTGTCACAGGTTAGAGGGCAGGGGCCACTGTGTCCTGGGTCGGGATCCTGGTCCCTGAGACCATCCCAGCCTCCCTCCGGGGCTGGTTCTCTGCGACTCTTATTCCTCTCCTTTCCCTCAGCTCAGTGGTGAGCAGGCAGTCAGTGGAGGGCCAGGTCAGGCCACGTGATGGACGTCCCTCTTCAAGGCTGGTGCATCTGCTGACCTCTAGGCCAAGAGCCCCAGGCGGGTGACTTTGGCCGAGAGGAAGGAGTGGATGATGAAGACCATGGTTTTGGGGCACGAGTGCAGGTCCAGCTGCTGCAGAGTGGAAGGAGAGAAGGTCAGGGACCCTGTCCAGCCTGGTATCCAGGATGGCACAGCCTCCCACCCCAGGGCATGGAGGCTACCCTCCACTCACGATCTCGCCCTCAGCGCCCCCAAAGTCCAGGAAAAGGAGACTGGCACCATCGTCCGAGGACATCTGCAGCTTCTCAAAGGGCTGCCGGAGCAGCACAGCTCGGGCCGCACCTGGTTCAGCTGCCCACAGTGTGAAGCCCTTGTCAATGTGCACAGAAAGGCTACAGGGACGGCCGTTCCACGTGCAAGCTGCAGAGAGGGTGCATGCACACAGGCACCAGTTGGCACCTCAGAGACCCCCAAGTCCCACCTCCAACCGCCGACTGGCAGCTCCACGAAGTAGGGGCTTGAATAACACCAGGGATGGGAGGCTCACTGTCTATTATGACATCTGCACGCCCACCTGGCATAGAGTCACTCCCATCCTGAAATATCAAAAGAAGGCCCTTAGAGAACCCACACCCCACTTCAGTCCCACTTTCAGCAGCACCTCAAAGTGGAAAGAAGGAGCTGAAAAATCTGCCATGGACAGGGAATCTATTCCCTATAATGGTATCAGCAGAGCCACTAAGCATGGCCTGTAAAATTGCCAGGTTTAGCAAATAAAAACTCAAGATGCCCAGTTAAATTTAAATTTCAGATAAACTATAGATAATTTAGAAATATTTATACTAAAAAAGTTTTGACTGTTTATCTGAAATTCAAATTTAACTAGGTGTCCTGTATTTTATCTAGTAACATTACCCCAAGGGCCATTTCTAACAGCCTCACCAGTAGAATCACAAAGCCAGGACTAGGAAAATCCCAGGGAAAAGAGGCACCAAAAAACAGGAACTTCAGTGACCACCCCAATCCCACTTTCCTTCCCCACTCCTGAAGTGCCCTAAAGAAGGAAACTTGAATGCTTCTAAGGATGAGAGGCTCATTACTGAAGAGGCACCCCCAGATCCACCCAGCCTACCTGTAGATACCTCCTGTACACCCTCAGCAGCCCGGTGACAGCCATCCACCAGCTGGCGGGTCCAGGCAGCCAGATCCTGTGGTGACTCCACGCTGAACAGGTGAGTGTCCACACCATGGCGTGTGCCCGTGCGCAGGACAAAAGACAGCTCTGCATCATAAGGCACCGAGCCCTTGGAGGGGCCTGAATGCACCAGCCTGGGGGTAGGAGGCAGAGGGCTAAATGTGGGGCCTCAGGAAGGCGGGAGACAGCTCTGGACAAAGTGGGGGGTGGTGACCTGGGGAAAGGCCCCATGAACCCTTTACCTCCTAAAGGGGACAGGGCTTCCAGCAGGTACTGATTGATTCAGCAGAGACCTCGCTACCGGCATCTCCTGCCACCCTCCCCCTCGCTCCCTCTGCTGGGTCGCACTGGGGTCCCAGAACACACCAAGAACATTCCTGCCTCTGCACCTTTGCACATGCTCACTCCCTCACTTTCTTCAGATCTTTGCTCAAATGTCATCTCCTCTGAGAAGCCTTCCCTAACCTTCTTGTCTAAAATAGCACCCCTGTCACTCACTAGCCTCATTTTTCATCATGGCACCAGAAATTATACTTTTTATTTATTTCTTTCAGATGGTTTTTGACTGTCTTTTTCACTAGAACGTCAGCTAAGATAGAAACTTTTGTCTGTTTTATTCACCACTGCATCCCCAGTAACTAAAGCAATGCTTTGGCACATAGCAGGTACTCAATAAACACTGTAGCCTGAGTTAATGAGTCACTTGATTAGGTAGTCAATCCAGCAGGTTTGGTATATTTGAGGCCCAAAGCCCAGCCTGGTGGGAGACACACACGTGACAAAGGCCCCACACCTGTAGCTTGACACCCATTTGCTGTGTGGTCTTGGGCAGCTGACTGCCCATCTTTGGGCAGCAGGCTTCAGAGTTCTGGTCCTTAGTTAACGATCTTTGTTCCTCATTCCACACACTCTCCTTCCTGTAGCCTCAGTTCCCCCTTGGAGCTGCTGCTGACACTCCATCCCATTTTCCAGCCCTGTGCTGCAGACCCTTGAGTCCCCAAGTTTCCTATCTAAGCCCCTAACCATTCCCCACACACTCTGGACTCAACTCAGCATCTTGCTCCAGCCTCCTCTCTTTGCACCCCCTCCCTGAACAGTCCCAGTGCCCACCCAGGCACAAGCTCCAAACCTCCCGTTCATCTCTTTATCCCGATGTCTCCCTCACCCTCTTCATCTGGCAAGCAGTAAATCCTGTTAATTTTACCACCCATGTGTTTTCCAAAGCAAATGCACCTTTCTTTCCCATCTGCTACCTCCAGCCACCCACACCCACTGCCCCATTTGCATACACTGCTGCAGCAGCCTCCCAGCTTCCATCCTGCCCCCTCCAGCACATTCTCCACATGGCAGGCAACCACAGGAAGGTTCTTCTAAAACACAACAGGAGTCACCTCATTCCCCTGCTTAAACTCTTCAATTCTTCACCACAACTCTTAAGATAAAGGTAACATTCCTTAAACAGGTAATCGAGGCCCTGCAAGATCAGGTCCCTGCTATCTCCCTGACTCACTTCTCTCCATTTCCTGCAAGGATTCTACATATTGGTTATACCACACTCATAGCTCCATGAACATGCTACAGCCCTTCATGCCTCAGTGCCTTTGCACATGTTGTTCTCTCCACCTGATATCCTCTTCTACCCTTTCTTAAGTAGCAAACTTCTACTCATCCATCAAGTCCAGCTCAAATGTCACCTCCTCCCTGAAGCCTTCCCCAACTAGGCCAGGCAGTTAAGTGGATCCTACAAGCCTACACTGTAATGGCTGTCTCTGGGTCTCTCTCCCTCACCAGACTGGGTGCTCCCTGAGGGCAGAGACTCCTGGGGTTGGTGTTACCATGCAACACAAAGTTGTGCAGACAGTAGGTATCAGTGAATGAATGATTAGCAGGACTTCACGTCCTTCTACTCCAAGCTCTCATTTTACAGATAAGGAAAACAAGGCCCAGACAGGGTAGGGACTTGACCCAGGTCACCTGAGGAGTAACTGAGGGGCAGAACATGGCTGGAGTTCTTAGCTTCTGAAGTACATCTGGAGCATCCCCCCACCCCCACCCCAAGCTCTGGGTAAGACCCCCACCCTGCCTGTGGATACCTGGTGGTGATAAGTGGAGCAGTACGGGCTGGCCGGCTCAGGGCCTCACGGGTCTGGGGGAGACTGGAGTAGAGAAGCAGCTCTTTGTCAGTCAGCAGGGCCAGGGTTGGTGCTGTGCTCCCACTGGGCAGCTGCAGGGGGGCAAGATGGCAGTGAGAGGGGGCGGGGACAGGAGAGGTCAGAGGGCCAGGGAAGGGAAGAAAGGGAGAGATAAGTCCCAGACCCAGCAGGCACCTGTTCAGTCAGCCAACCAATCTGCTTGATGTCCTGGCTCCCAGCTGTGCTGGTGGCTGCCAGCAGTGCCTGCAGCTCATCCTTGACCCAGGGCATCAGAGCGTTGACTTGGGCTTGGATGGCAGCTGCCCATGACCTCGCACTAGCCTCATCCTTGGCTCTCAGGAAGACAGTGTCTTGGCCATCAGCAGAACATATCTCCAGATACCTGCAGGCACAAATGTGGTGGAGTGGAGGGCCTGTCCACTGAGCTACAGCTGCCCAACCCAGAAATCTAGCCCAAGAAACTCTACCCCACCCCAAACCACAGAGGATGTCCACGAGAGAATCAGGAGCTACAGTCATCACTGGGACTCCAGCCACAGTTGATGAAGCCTCATCAGGTCTAGGGACAAGACACACACACACACACACACGCACGCACGCACGCACGCACACACGCACGCACGCACGCACGCATATACACACAAGTACACAGAGATATGCGACATGTGTGATACGGGCCAAAATTATTTCTGTGTGAGGAGTCATAACCTTGCCCTTTTCTCCTGGTTTCTAAAGAGAAAAAATTCTCCAGCTGGGCCAGCTGTCAGGTTCTCCTTGTTGCACAGAACCAAAGTACTGTACTAATTGGGGAAAGAAATAGAAAACAAAAACTAAAGTAGTTTGAGAGGCCAAGTTGATCTACATAACAAAGAGGTGGGGGAGTGAAGCAAGGAGAAGGCAGGAAGACAAGCAAGTGTGGGGGAAGAGTTTCAGGGAATTACCAAGAGGAGTAGTGACAGGGAGAGATGCTTTTCAAAATGTTTTATGGGCATTAAGCGTTCACTCCCCTTGTAAGAGATAAGATGTGACAGAGGATGATCACACAACACCCATTTCAATCTCTTCATTTTTACCTGTCTCTAGTACAGAACCGGAAATCCTGGTGGCATAGTGGTTGAGAGCTATGACTGCTAACCAAAAGGTCAGCAGTTCGAATCCACCAGCCACTCCTTGGAAGCCCTATGGGGCAGCTCTACCCTGTCCTTTAGGGTTGCTACGAATCAGAATCGAGTCGATGGCAACGGGTTTTTTAGTTTTGGACTACAGAACCAGAAAGCAAAATATTTTAATTCCCAGCCTCCCCTGCAGCTAGAGCTGACCATGTGAACCAGTTCTGACCAATGAGATCTAGAGAGAAGTCCTTTCCCAGTGGAGAGGGAGTCCTTTCCCGAAAGAAAGGTAGATCTTTCCCAGTATGGTAGTTAGTCTCCAAAGATGGCCTCTGTTAAATCCATCCCTCCCCGTATGTCACTTCTCTCCTCAAGAGGTGGAACCTATCTCTCCTCACCTTGAATCTGGATTGGCCTTGTGAATTGCTTTGACAAACAGAATGTGGCAGAAGTGACGTTCTGGGATTTCCAAGCCACTATTTAAGAAGTCCTGAAAGACCAATCACTAGAATAGGATATCATATTTGGTAAAGCAGAGGGTCAGCAAAAACAAGGGAAACCCTCAGTGAGATGGACTAACACAATAGCCACAACAACAGATTCAAATAGACCAACAATCATGCAACCGGCACAGGACCAAGCAACGTTTCATTCCTTATGCAAAAGGTTGTCATGAGTCAGAGCCAACTCAATGGCAACTAAGAAAAACAATAACATATAAGAACTCTACACACGAAGCACAGCCTCTTATTAACCTGAGACCAGAAGAACTAGATGGTGCCTGGATACCACTATCAACTGTTCTAATCAGGGACACAATAGAAGGTTCCGGATAGAGTGGGAGAAAAATATAGAACAAAACTCAATTCCTAAAAAAAGGCCAGACCTACTGGACCAATAGAGACTGGAACAACCCCTGAGACTGTGGCCCTCAGAAAACCTTTGAACTTGGAATTGAAGCTATTTCTGCAGGTCACCTTCCAGCCAAATAACAGATTGGCTTATAAAGCTAACAGTATCACTCATTAGTAATGTGTTCTCTTAAACAATTAACTGTATGAGACCAAACAGTCAAAATTTACCAAAAGCAAAGACAAGAAGGCAAGGAGGGGAAGGGAAGCTAAATCAATGGAAACAGAACAAACAGAATGGAAACAATGAGAATGCTGACACATTGTAAAAATTGTAATCAATGGCATGGAACAACTTGTATAAAAATTGTTAAAGGGGGAACGTAATTTGCTGTGTAAACTTTCACCTAAAACATAATGAAAATTATTAAAAAAAAAAAAAAGAAAGTGATAAACTTTGGAACACTAAAAAAAAAAGGGTCTAGCTACCCTGAGATCACCATGCTTTGAGGAAGCACAAGCTAGCCCCATGGAAAGAGGAATGGTCAGCCAGTCCCTCGCTGTTCGCACCATCCCAGCTGAGATGCCTGACAGGTGAGTGAAGCAGCCACCTTGGACTTCCAGCCCCAGCAGACACCACATAGAACAGAACTGGCCAGCTGAGCCAGCCAGAATGCAGAACTGAGAAATAAGTTATTTTCTAAGACACTAAGTTTTAGAATGGTTTGTTATACAGCAATAGATAATCAAAATACTCGGAGAAAAATCCCTTTGCCTTTGGTGTCTATCTGTCTGGAATACGATACACTGCTTGGAAGTACAGTCACCATCCAGTCTCCATGAAGAAAAAAATCCACATAAAGATAGCAGAGGAGGAAGCTGGAAGCCTGGTTCTTTGATGGTATCCTTGAGTACCTGTAACAGCCTGTATAGATGACCCCTGGACTTCTTTTTAAACATGTAGAAAAATAAAACTTTCATTTATTTATGCCATTGCTCGTTAGGGTTTCTGATACTTGCAGCCCAATGCAATTCTAACACTGAATAAAAGTTTGAAATACTTTTCATTATATTTTGGCTGCCAGACTGTGTCCCTTTGACTGGGATATTGTGCTGACAGCAGGCCGCACAGAACATCAGTTATATTCAGGTTACACATGTAGTCACAAACAGTCTGCATATGTTCAAGCACACGTGCATATATGCATGTGCACATACACATACAAATATTAACATATAAATACCTGTGCACACAATCTATATTCATACACATACAAATGCTCACACACATAAACAGTGCGTTTACATGCCATCTATATGTTCATACACACAGAAATACATGTACACACATGCTTCAGCTAATATCTGGAATCAAGTTAGCAACCATGTTTAACCTAAGGTTCTATGAGTTTCAGGAAGGACTAATACCCACCTCACCATCTCCCAACACAAATGGTCCCTTCAGTATAGCAACTGTACGTGACCTGTGAATCACTAGTTCATGCCTCATGGGGGCAGACTGGGGTGGGGCATCAAACAGGGCCAGGAGATTTGAATGCTGGACATTAACCAACCCTCCCAACCAATGTTGGGCACTTGCCTGGCACTGAACCTAGGCTGGAACTGGGACCCACCAGACAAGCCTTTTATGCGCACACCGTATAAACACCACCCCCAACACAGCATAGCCTACTTGACCAACATATATTCCATTCAACCACCACCATTACTTAGGCACCCTGCAGCTTCTAAAGCAGAGAGGGCCACGTGGAACAGGGCAGGTTTCACTTCTTCCTAGTTGCGTGACCTTGGGCAGTTTACTTCTTCTCACTGAGCCTATGTCCTCATCTATAAACTGGGGGTGAAATAATGGAATAATGGGAGGTTCTCATAAGTTTGCTGTGAGAATTAAATGCAATTGTGCAGGAAAGCACTCAACACCCAGTTATTGTTGTTAGTTGCCACTGAGTCGATTCTGACTCATGGCGACCCAATGTATGCAGAGTAGAACTGCTCCACAGGATTTTCAAGTCTATGACCTTTCAGAAGCATATTGCCAGGCCTGTCTTCCGAGGCACCTCTCGGTGGGTTTGAACCGCCAGTCAAGCACTTAACTGTTTGTGCCACCCAGGGACTCCTCAATAAATCTTAGCTGGTATCAACCTTATTACGAATGAATTGTTAAAGGCTGCTCAGATGTGAGGAATGGTAACTTCATGGCCCTGATACAAATGTTACCAGACATCTCAGAACCTCAGTCACAGTCAGAAGAGACTTTACAGAACCACTGAGTCCAACAACCTTATTTCACAATAGGGAATCTAAAGTTTAATGAGGAAAAGGGACTAATCCAAGGAGAATTGGGACTGGATGGAACCCAGGGCTTCTTACCAGACCAAGGTTTCCCTTAGATGTGAACTTCCCAGTAGAAGAAGAGATAAGCAGACCAGGTTATCATTCCCGTAACTGCAATCATGCAACAAACATTTCTTATGTGCCTATGTTCTGGCACTGCGCTGGTCATTTGCAATACAGGGGCATCTTTCCTTTGGCCCCACCACCTATCCTGGGCATCCGTGTGTCTGAATTGCTCCCCTGAGGATATCAGCCTTACCTGGGCTCTGGATCGTTGGGGGTGCACCTCTTCGAGACATATGCCATTTTCAAAGACACATGTTTGGCATCACTGAGGTCCCGGAGTGGGGGGCCAGGGGAGGAAGGCTGCCGCTGAAGGGGTGAGGCAGGAGGCGAGTCCCAGCTGACCGAGGTCCCACCAGCAGAGTTCTTGAAATACGGTGAGACCTCCTTCATGTACTTGACTGCTCAGGGGAGAGGTCAGCAGTTACCACTGTAACATGAAGTCCCATGCAGCACACATCACAATTGCCACTAATTCATTAAGAGTTTATGTCTAATGTCACAATCTTCCTCCAGGCTAAAATCTCTGACAGGACAGGGTGGTAGAAAACACCAAATGCCTGCCATCATCCATTCTCTCACTTTTCTCCTGATTTATAGATACTCAGTCACTGGAAGAAAGACTGCGTTTCCCAGACTCCTTTGCAGTTGGGTGTGGCCATGTGACTAAGTTCTAATCAAGCAAGCGGAAGTCTTGTTTGAGCCTTCTTCCTCTTTCCCTCTCCTCCAGTCTTTAGAAGTTGCAGGGAGAGGACCTGGTCCTAAAGCAATAGCCACTTTTGACCACAGGGTTGGGGTCCACACACTGATGATGAAGCAGCAGAAAGATGGACTCGGGTCTTTGATGATAGCATGAGCCCCTAAATTAGACTACCCCCGAGCCACCCTGCCTCAAGACTTCCTGTTCTGGAAGATAACATATTTTCAATATTTAAGCCTTCTTAAATTGGGTTTCTGTTACTTACACCCAAAAGCATCCTAATACCACACCTTGTGCAGTACAAGGGGCACCACCTATTAAGATCCTAAATGCACGTGAACCCTTTGACCCAACAATATCCCTTCCAGAAGCCATGCTTCAGATAAATGAAGACAGCTCCCCAGTGGTGCAAGAGATACATCTTCCTACTAAAACTGGCATACCCAGTCCCTGCTCTGGTTCCCCAGCACCTTTCACTTGACTTCAAGGCCCTCCGGTACTTGGGCCCTGCCCACCTCTCTGGCTTCACTTCCCACCATACTCTAGTCCAATCATACTGACCTACTCAGAGCTCTCAGAAGCTGTATGAGCTTCCAAATCCTTATATGTTTGAAAATGCTGTTCCCTCTGCATGGGATATCCTTGGTATATAGTTTGGAGTCAGGCACTCTTGGATTTGAGCTCCAGCTCCAGCACTTTCTAGCTATGTGACCATGAACAAGGTAATTCACCTCTCTGGGCCTCAGTCTGCTAGCTGATAAAACAATAACAGTACCTAGCTCAAAGAGATGTTAGGACTAAATGAGATGATGTGGCACACAGTAGGAACTTAAGGAATATGAATTTCTGACCTATCAGCCTCCCCTGCCCACATTTCTTAGAACTCAGCTGTGATTGTGGTGTCCAATGCTGTCTCCCCCACGAAACCGGAGGGCAGAAACTGGACTTGATTCGAACTCAGAGTTGGTGCTCAGTGACTGAGAAACGAACGTCAGGGAAAGACAGTATCATTCAGCAAGAAGAAGAAGGGGCCACAGCCTAGGAGACCCTGGCTCAGCTCAGACATTGCTGCCTCTAGGAAGCCTTCCCTGATGGTCAGGCTGGATCCATCACCTCTACAGTCCCCTGGGTCCCACTTCCCTGTAATTGTGTATATCTGGGTCTGTGTGCCCCACGAGACAAGGAGCACTGTGAGGGCAGGGACCTTGTCCGACTCATCTCTGTCTTCCCAGAATCCAGCGGGGGCCTTGTATGCTACATGCTCAACAAATGAACACTGGTCAACTTTGAAGTCAGAAAAACTGCCGGAGCCCATGCTCACTTGGGCTGTCCCAGTGCTGGGCCCTCCTTCTTTCCCACAGGAACATGCTATAAATGGACAAGACACCAGCTGGTGCCTGAAACAGGGCTTGGATTTCACAAACCAAGCAGTCCGTTCCAGAGTGGGGGTGGAGGTCTTAGGGGTCCCAGAGTCTGGCCATAAATAGCCAGCTCTGAGGCTTCTTCCCCTCTCTGATTTTTGCCTGAGTCACCCACCAGGCAGGGTGGGGCTGCCCAACGGCTGTGGTCTGAGAGCTGAGGGCATGACTGTGGCCTTGGGGCCAACATTTCTGAGACTCCAAGGACAGGCCCAGCTGGTATCCACACCCTCCCCAGCCAAGCCCCTGGCCAGGAGCCTGGTAAAGCAGTGACACACGGGCCCTCCCTCCTTAAAGAAGCTGAGACAGACAAACATAGGACACCCTACCCCTTCTAGGGGCCCCGGCACCCAGGGACTGCCAGCTCTGCCAAAGAGGGAAGCCAGACCTGGCCCTGGCCGCAAGAAGCCCGGAATAGATTCCACTAGAAACACAAGGAACAGAGACAGGGCAGGACCATTCACCCGGCCCAGTGCAAATGGGGGGGGGACATATGCATGGCAGAGAGAAGGGGACACCTCTGATTTGGCTCAACACAGTAGCCAGTACTTATCCCAATGCTCAATAAATGTTTGTGAATGAATGTCCTGGCCATGAGTCTTGGCTGAAGGAAGCCTGTCCTCTGAGCTCAGGCTGTTCCTTGTCTGTTCAGTGGGTGGTCACTTACTTACCTCTGCCTGAAATTACACGATCTATATCCATTTGGTTACTGGTCAATGGCCTTGGGCAGGGGTCTGTTGTGCACTATGGTACCCGCACCATCTAGAATAAACCCATTGCCATCGAGTCGATTCCAACTCATAGCGACCCTATAGGACAGAGTAGAACTGCCCCATAGGGTTTCCAAGGAGCGGCTGGTGGATTTGAACTGCCGACCTTTTTGTTCGCAACCACAGCTCTTAACCACTGTGCCACCAGGGCTCCACCATCTAGAATAGTCCCTGACATATACCAAAAAACCTGTTGCCATTGAGTTGATTCTGACTCATCATGACCCTGAAAGGGTTTCCAAGGAGCACCCGGTGGATTCAAATTGCTGACCTTTTGATTAGCAGCCATAGCTCTTAACCACTATGCCACCAGACTGACATATACCAGGGATAAGCAAATGAAAAAACTTTAAATAACTGAACATTGGGGGCTTGGGGCTTCTCAGCTTAGAGAGCATTGAATGTGGGCTCTGGAGTGAGGCAGGCTTGGGTTTAACTGCTTTGCTGTGTGACCTTGGACAAGTGACTTGACCTCTGTGAGCCTCTATTTCCTCATCTTTAAAATGGGAGTAAAAGTATACCTACCTCACAGTGTTTTGAAAGATTCAATACATCTAAAGCACTTTGCTGTGTCTGGTACAGTAGTATTCAATAAATACTAGTGTGGTTATTATCCCTCTGCTGTTCTTAGCATGACGAAGGAGAGGATGGGCACAGGATGTGGTGGCAGACAGACAAGGATTTGAGTCCAGGCCATGTCACTTGCTACTTGGCCTGGGCAAGTCCCAAGGTCTCTCTGAGCCTCAGTTTCCTCGCCTATATAATAGGCACTGATACGCCACCTCCTTGGAAAGCATTGTGAAGATTCAAGCTCAGGCTGCCCGCCTGCTCATCCAGGATGGTGTGGAGAGAGGGTTTGGGATTCCAACAGGTTCTGGAACGGATGACCTTTAAGGTCCCGCTGGTCTAGCAAGGCTGGACTATAAATAGCTCCTGGCCCCTGGCAGGTCCTGCAGCAGGGCTGGCCAGCAGGGCCTGGCCGGCCACACTTTGGAGGATAAAATCTCACCTTACCACACCCTTGCGCAGTACAGGGTGCACCACCTATTAAGATTCTAAAGGCACGTGAATCCTTTGATCCAACAATATCCCTTCCAGAAACCGTAATTCAGATAAATGTGCACACGTCCACAGAGGGGTCAAGCACGATTGTCTAGGAACGCAAACAACTTCAATGTCCCTAAGCTGTGGTTAGCTGCCATCAAGCTGGCCCCCAACACGTGGTGACCTCATGCAGAATGGAAGGAAGGATTGCCCTGTCCTGCACCATACCCTTGATCAGTTGTGGATCAAACCATTATGATCCATAGGGTTCTCACTGGCTAATTTTCAGAAGTAGATCACCAGGCCTTTCTTCTTAGTCTGTCTTAGTCTGGAAGCTCCACTGAAACCTGTTCAGTGTCATAGCAACACCCAAGCCTTCACTGACAGAAAGGTGGTGGCTACACATTAGGTGTGTTGGCCAGCAGTCAAACCCAGGTCTCCCATACGGAAGGCGAGAATTCCAGCACTGAACCACCAATGCCTCACTGTCCTTGAGTAACCCGTTGCTGTAGAGTCAATTCCAACTCACAGCAACCCTACAGAACACAGCAGAACTACCCCATGGGGTTTCTAAGGTTGTAATCCTTAAGGAAGCAGACTGCCACATCTTCCTCCCATGGAGCAGCTGGTGGGTTCGAGCAGCTGACCTTTCAGTTAGCAGCTGGGCACTTAATCACTGTGCCACCAGGGCTCCTCACTCTTGAGTAGGCGCCAATAAATATAAGATGCCAGCTCCCTGACTGGCAGAGACCACTCAGTCTTGTTCATGGCTGTGACCCTGGTGACAAGATCAATTCCTGGCACACAGCAAATGCTCAATACATGCTTGATAAATAAATGAATGAATCCCAATAATGATGTATTATTCAACCGTTAAAAAGAATGGGGTAGAGCTACCTCTACTGAGTTGGAAAGATGCCCTCAACTTTATTAAGTGATAAAAGCAAATACTGAAATTTTCTGGAAGAAAAATGTGAGAATATATTAACAGGGATTCTACGAGAAGATAACGGCTTTACACTGTTTTTTTTTTTTTATTGTAATTTAGATGAAAGTTTACAGAACAAACTAGCTTCTCATTAAACAGTTGGTACACCTATTGTTTTATGACGTTGGTTAACAACCCCACGACATGTCAACATTCTCCCTTCTCAACCTTGGGTTCCCTATTACCAGCTTTCCTGTCCCCTCCTGCCTCCTAGTCCTTGCCCCTGGGCTGGTGTGCCCCATTAGTCTCAACAGGCCTGTCTAATCTTTGGCTGAAGGGTAAGCCTCGGGAGTGACTTCATTACTAAGCTAAAAGGGTGTCCGGGGGCCATACTCTCGGGGTTTCTCCAGTCTCTGTCAGGCCAGTAAGTCTGGTCTTTTTTTTAATTAGAATTTTGTTCTACATTTTTTTCCAGCTCTGTCTGGGACCCTCTATTGTGATCCCTGTCAGAGCAGTCAGTGGTTGTAGCCGGGCACCATCC